AGTGTCGTCGGATAACCCTAATAATCAAAATCTAAATAATTTTGATGATTAACGAATTAAAGCAGACATTTCCACATTCTTTGGTAATATGATGACTGAAGACTTCTTGGATTAGTTGGTAGAGGTTGAACAATTTTCAAAATTATGAATGTTTCAAATGACAGATTGTTAAAATGGTAACGTCCCATTTGAAGTCTGCAGCAGCAGCAGCATAGTGGGATCAATTACAGAATGTTTGAAGGAGATAGGGAAAAAGTTAGATTCGGACTTGGAGAAGGATGAAGTAGTCTATGGTGGGTCGATTTCTACCAGCAGTTTATGAAAAATTTTTGTATCGTATGTACCTAGGATGCACATTAGATAATTACACTGTATCATACTACATCAATGAATTTATGTGATTGGCAGAGCGAAACAGCCCATCAAGATTCGAAAATGAAAGGGTAGCGAGGTATACCAGTGGTTTGAAAGTGGTTATTCAAGATAGAATTAAGTTGCAGAATATTTGTACTTTGCAGGAAGACATTAACATGCTATAAAGGTTGAGATGATATAATCTAATAAGAGGGCAATCTTTTACAAGAGAGTTTTCCCACATGTCGAACCATCATCGTTCATTCTTTTGGATAAAAGGAAGGCCTCGTAACAAACCCCAATCACCCTAATGGGAGCAATGTTGACAACAGTGTTCAGTTTGGAAATAGATGTCAAACTCGAGGTTCTCGAATGCAAATCCACATGCCTGCATGAGATATTTGTTATAGATGCCATAAGCGTGGGCATCATTTAAGTATCTGTCCTTAAAAAAGTAGGTCAATTTGGTAGAATAGAAGACTATGGACGAAGAAGAAGACACTGAGGTGGAATGTGAGTATGCACGAGTTGAGTTGCTTTGGTATTGCATCGAATCATTTTGTCCTTTAAGTATGAGGGGTAACATCACTATAGCTTCCGTTCGCTTTTTCTATCAAGAATAAGGTATGTGAAATAATTGTAGACAACATAAGCCGTGAGAACTTTGTATCGAAGAGGTTGGTGAATTTGTTGAAATTGTCAACTTAGAACCTTCCTACACCTTATTCCATTGGTTAGGTGAAGATAGATCATTCCGTTCAGGTTGTTGAGACTTGCAAAGTACCTGTTTCCATTGGTAAGCATTATAAGGATAAAATTGTGTGTGATGTCATAGACATGGATGCTTGCCATTCCTTATTGGGTGGTCCATGGCAGTTTGATGTACTCAAAGTCATGATAATGTGGTACTCTTTCATGGGACAGCAATAAGATTGCTATAGTTCCTCTCAAGTAGGCGGAGAAATCTACCCAACAAAGAATTGAAAGTTTTTTTACCCTTAAAAATAATGACAAGGAGATTGTAGATTCTGTAGGAGAATCTTATTGCATTTATCCAGTAGTGGTTAAGGGGCGCTTTATAACAAATAAGGATGCTGAGAATGTTCCGTCGAAGTGCATGAAATATTGGCAGAATTTGAAGTTTTGGTTTCCGATGAATTGTCGAATGAGTTACTTCCTATGATGAATATTCATAACCAGATTGATTCGGTACCTAGGTTCCAAATTTTCCTCATTATTGAATGAGTTCGAAAGAGAATGAGATTTTGGTGGAGCAAATTGATGAGCCGTTGAGGAAAGAATTTATAAGAAAGAGTATGAGTCAGTGTGCAACATTTGTCCTCTTAGTGCCAAAGAAAGACAAAAAGTAGCACATGTGTGTTGATAGTCATGCCATCAATAAGAGAACAATGGAGTATAGTTTTTCCATTTTGTAGTTAGATGACATGTTATATGTGCTTGAGGTTCTAAGGTCTTTTCGAAAATAGACCTTTGCAATGACTACCACTAGATCCACATCAAACTTAGGGAAGAATGGAAAACTACCTTCAAGAGTAAAGATGGACTTTATGAATGGTTGGTGGGATTCGGACTCTCCAATGCCCCAAGCACCTTTATGGGAGTGATGAACTAGGTTTTTCATCCTTTCATCGGATCTTTTGTTGTAGCTTATTTCAATGATATACCCATTTAATAGTAAGTCTAAAGAAGATTACTTGATTCAATTCAGGAAAGTCCTTGATATTCTGAAGGAGAATCAGTTGTACATCAACCTAAAGAAGTGCACTTTTTGTACACATAAGTTGTTGTTTCTAAGCTTTGTGGTTGGTGAAGATGGTCTATAGGTGGACGAAGAGAAGAAAAGAGTAATACGAGATTGGCCAACAACAAAAATAGTTTCTCAAGTAAAGAGTTTCCATGGTTTGACTTTAAGGAGATTTAAAGCAAGTATGTGAATCGTGAATTAGTAGAATATTACTATATTAACGATGGGGTATTTGTTCAAAGGCAACCATTTTCATCTTTATGTGAAAAACTGATTCAAGATCTGCACGGAGTAGGTCTCAGTGGATACTTGGGGCATGACAAAACAATAACCAATTTGAAAGTCAGGTATTATTGGCCACAGTTAAAGTTAGATGTTGAAGTTATAGTCAGAAAATGTTACACTCGTCAGGTGACGAAGGGTCAAGTGCAGAATACTGGGTTGTACATGCCATTTCTTGTTCCTTAGGACATATAGCAAGATCTTACAATGGATTTTATTCTAGGATTACCTCGTACTCAACGGTATGTAGATTCTATTTTTTTGGTAGTTTACAGGTTCTCCAAGATGGTTCCCTTCATATTTTGCCGGAAGACCTCAGATGCATCGAATATTGCCAACTATTTTTCAGAGAGGTTGTTCGATTGCATGGAGTTCCCAAGTCTATCAATCAAATCAAGGTACAAAGTTTTTGGGGACACTTTTGGATTATATTGTGGAATTTGAATTGAAGCAGCACTGCTGATAGGAATGTAAAATACA